GGAGCGGCCCGGCACTCCTGGCAACTCCGGTTTTCCCATGTTAATGTCCTTAGTTGCATCTTAACCGATTGTGTCTGAATACGTTTTGGTTTTGTGTTTTTTTTTTTTTCCCTGCCTAACTTCTAGTTGGATGCTGATAACTATGAGACTGATCCATGTCTGAAAGAGATTCGGAGAGCAGAAAATTATTCGTGGATGGATATAATAACCATACATAAAGACAAGCTTCCAAATTACGAGGAAAAGGTATGTGAGTCTTTGCTTTAACTGAGGATCTGCACGCTGAAGTCTACCGCTAGAGTGTGCAGCCGGCTTCTCAACACCTCCGCACCCTGCAGGGGCACAAAGATGAGATTTCCATGTGTAAAATACATCCTGTACTGAAGTCCTTCACATTAAAGAACCAGGTTTGATATTATTTTAAAAATAGCAGAGGCCTTTTGCTTCTGTAGATTGCCTTCAAAGGTTTTAAGGGTGCTTCCCATCAGTGTGTCATTTCAAAACTAAGATTCCTACCAGCGGAGCCCCACCAATGCTGACCTGTCCTTGGAAAGCTTCCCTGGGAGGAAGGCAGGTGGTTGCCAGCTGGGCATGGGCTTCAAAGGCTGGAACATCCTAATGGCTGTTTGCAAAATACATCTTTTCAAAGTGAACGTTAACCTTGTGGAATCGGAGGCACACATTCCCTGAACAAGAAGATTATTTACCTTGGGAAGCTGGTACCTTGGATGTTTCATAAGAGCTGAATGCGAATGGTGCCAGACTCTCAGATGAGCCTCCTAAAAGGAGCTTTCTCCTTCCACCCTCCGGGTGCTGGCATGCTGCTCTGACCTGAGGACAGCAACCCGGTGGCACTGGCATGTTTTCAGTCACATGTCCGTTTACCAGTTTGTTTTAAGCCCATTGTGTTATACTGGTTGTAAATTGATGACAAGGTGAATTAGGTAGTAACTCGGGTTGCCTGGGTGGACTGTACCTGACACAAAGACAGACTATTATTGACAAGGCATATGGACTCCTGCTCGTCTTGCTGTGCTGGATCAGCACTGGCTCAGGGACACCTGCACCAGTGTGGCGGAACAGCATCCAGGCCTGAGCACGTGATAGTACCTGGCATTACACTGCTCTGTGTGTACTAACCCATTCAGGTCTCTGTTAATTGAACCTTTAAAGCACGTTTTGTTCTGTGCTGTGAAATGTACAAAGAATTCACCATTCCAGAAAAAAGAGAATGTTGTTGCTGCTGCCTGGAAGGACAGAGCCTGGTGCTGGGATTCGCTGTGTGGGGGCAGGCGTGACATGCTGCTTACATCAGCTTTCTGTAGATGGGCCACGTTTGGCAATAACTGCATTTCCACATAGAGTTGTAGTAGCATGTGAGGCTAATTCAACCCTACACCAGTGTAAAAGAGGTGAGATTATCTGTAGCTGTTTTATTTTTGCATGTCAGGAAAAAAAAGGCACAACATTGATCAAACTGAACAACTGCAAGGACCAAATCCTGCAGTGGGAAGCTTTACCTGCTTCTCAAACGGATGTAAGCATTACTGTTATTCAGAAACAGGTTATGTGCAGCTATAGCTGCTGTTTCTTGTCAGAGAAATTCCTGTCTTCTGAAGGAAATGTAGCAGCTTACTTAGAAGTGTCCTGAGACAGGGTCTGGCTGGCTGGTTTGGCCGTTTTAACTGTGTTGGTCTCATCTGTTAGTTAAATCACTGCACAGTTACCCTTTGAAAGCCTTTGTCTGCTTTGCCACATATTTCTGCCAGATTTTTTTGCGTTTTTTTCTGTGTTCAGTAGTTCTAAGAAATACTTGCTATTCCTAGATAAAAACATTTTATGAAGAACATTTACACCTAGACGATGAAATTCGCTACATCTTAGATGGATCTGGCTATTTTGATGTTCGAGACAAGGATGACAAATGGATCCGGATTTCCATGGAAAAAGGAGACATGATAACCCTCCCTGCCGGCATATATCACCGATTTACACTGGATGAGAACGTATGTTGTTATAGATTACTGTAAATTTTTATAACAAATCCGTGTGAGTGTGTATCACATTAGTAACTACATGCCCTGAGACTTGCAGTTCATTAGCAAAACATATTAAATATGAAGTAGCGATATGAAAAATACTAAATAATTCACAGCATCTGAACCTTTCATCTCCAGGTCACAAATCCAGTTTCCTCTTGTCAGCTGTAACTGCAAGTCATTGCCACGTGATATCCGTAGCATATCTTATGTGACAGCAGCATGAGAGCCAAGCCCTGCGGCTATCCCTCCCACAATTGCCCTTGCTGTTGGTTCAGGTGGAGATAGCGTGGATGGATCCTTCTGTGTTGCCTTGTTGTGTACTTTTGTGAAGATAGAGCATATCTGTGTCCAGCAGTGGCGTTTTTCATGAGTGCTAAATTCACCTTCAGAGAAAGAAGGATTTAACGGTCCAGAGCCATGACTTGCAGCTAGCCTGTGGTAGACTGGATGCTGGCTTCACAGGAGGTGACCTGCTTTCGGAGAGTGTTTTTGGCGGGCGATGAGATTGTGAGCTTGGCAGATGTAGTCCTGATCTGTGTGTCTGTCCTTGTGGGCTTTTATAAATATGTGTGTAACCTCAGCGTTACCCCTGGAAAATAGGGAAATGCGTGCTGTCTGGAGAATGGTGTCTGGATAGCAGTTACTGTATATGTAAAAAAGGGGGATGCTGCTTTGGTGAAAAACCTGACTTTTCACATCTGCATTTCCAGATCCACAGTGAATCAGCTCCAGTTACTAGTTTAAGGCTTTTTCTTTAGGCAGACAAAATGTCAGGGGCTATGGGTTGAATCCACCAGAAGTTTTAAATGTTTGTCCACTTCAGGAACTTTAGTTCAAAAGTGCTATCTTGAAAGGAAATTCTTCAGGTACTTTTGGAACCTTGCATTTTGCAGCTAAGTTCTTTAGGTACCTAACTTGTTTCTTGATGTTGCTGAGCACTTGGGTGCAAGATTAGCACTTGGCAGTGTTTACAAAATAGGTAGGGTCTAAACCCGTAGCGTAGTGGACAGGAGAGGAGAGTTCCCCATAACTTGGTGGCTGGAGCACTTCTGCAGGTTGTAAGATCCCATTTTCTGCTCTCACAGCTGTACCTCACACCTGGCATACTTTTGGTTAGCTGGTGGCAGGGGCTGTTGCTTTTCCTGTTGGTATCTGGAGACTTTTCACTTTCTGCAGCATTATTTTTTGGCTAGTTTATGCAATCCCCATTCAGCTGTTATGGCTCTTGCTTTGAAGCTTGTGGTATTCCTCAAAAGCGTTGTGTAGCCATCTTGGGTATTCTGATTGCTCTTGTTTAACTAAGCAAGTAGGAATTAGATGGTGCATTGCTCCGTATTGTGGATCCAGTGCAAAAGACTTGCATAAGACAGGATTTTTTTGGTTTCTTTGAAACAGGGAGAAGTACTGTCTCTGTCTAACCTGGAGGCACTGTTTGTGACCCAACATATCTCTGCATAGGTGCAAAATCTCCGACTGCAGTAGGTGGGAGCAGGAACAGCAGGGTAGGGCTATAATTTTCTGGAACACTGTGAAGCTTTCAGTCCATCTTGAAACAGTTTCAGAAACTTCTGTAGAAGTGCAAAGGAAACATCAACTTCAGAATGAAGATCCCATGGAAAGGAGCTCTTAAATTACATGTCACTTCTTGTTCTTTGACAGAATTACGTGAAGGCAATGAGGCTATTCGTTGGAGAACCCGTCTGGACAGCATACAACAGGCCAGCTGATGATTTTCCTGCTCGGAAACAGTATATGAAGTTTTTGACTGAAGAAGCACAGTAATGGTCTCTGAGACCAGACAGGTGGAACAGCCTGAAGCCCTGTCAGAATAAATGTGATTGATGGCTTTTCACTGATCAGATCGTCTATTTACATACACTGTTGGAATCACAGAATCATAGAAAAATTTAGGTTGAAAGGTTGTTCGGAAGTCATCTAGTTCAACACTCTGCAAAGTATCAGGCCAACTTTAAAGCTAGACCAAGTTGCTCAAGACCTTGAGGTTTGGAAACCTCTGGTGGTGGAGGTTCCACAGTCTGTCTGGGTGCGTGTTCCAGCACTTAGCTGCTCTCACGGGCAAGCATTTGTTCTTCATGGCCAACTCTGTGGTCACAGCTTGCAATTGTTGTCTCTTGCCCTTTCATTGAATGCCTGAGAAGAGCCTGGCTCTGTCTGCTCTGCAGCCCCTTCTCTAGTGGGAAACTAGTTAGGTCTCCTGTCAGCCACCTTTTCTCCAGGCTAGACAAATCAGTGTCCTTAGCTGGGCTCTCTTCTGTTAGGGAAGATGTTCAACATGTTTTACCCTAGTTTTGACTACTGAGGAGTGTCACTTGTAACCACCTGACAGTTAGACTTGAACCACTGACTGTTCTGAGCTTGATGGTCCAGAAGTTTTTGACCCACCTTGTAGTTCATATCCTCAGTCCAGCTACAAGGCTGCTGCGGTACACGCTGTTGAAAGCCTTGCTGTGGTCAAGGTGAAGGACATCTGCTGCTTCCCATCCACTACAGAGCCAGTCGTTATCTCCTAGATGCCAGTCGTGATGGTCAGGCAGGATACACCCTTGGTAAATTGGCAGACTGTTTTTTTTTCCACATCACCTGGTGTTTCATGTGCCTGGAATGGCTTCCATAATGGCTTATTCCTTAATTTTCCTGGGGATGGAAGTGAGGCTGACCAGCCTGTAGTTCCCCAGATCTTCTTTCTCTCTGTTTGAAGGTGGCAGTATCACTTGCCTTTCGCCGGTCAAAAAAATTTCCCTGATCGCTGTGACCTTTCAAAGATGCCAGCAGCCTTGCAGTGACTGTAGCCAGTTGCATTTAAAATTGCTCAGGAATGCATTTTCTAACCTTTTTTTCCTTGATATTTCTGGCAGGTGGAATTGGGAAAGGTGGGCTACATTAATATTCATTCTGTTCTGAATCCATGCTAATGAACTATGTAGGATTCTGGTTTTAATTAAAGAAAATAAAGCCTGCTTCATTCTTGTCTAAAAATGTTCATAAGATAAATTTGCATAATCGGCATTTTAGTATGCAGCTTCCCTAGTTCTGCCCTGGTACATAAAGCTGTGGTTTTCTCTCAGTAAAATGTAGCAATTTGCTCTGTGAGTTATTAATAAAATTACTTTGACTTGGGTGTGGGCTGTTTTTTTCCCCTTGCACTGACATGAAGGACACATTGAACAACAGTGTTACTGTAATTGTTCATCAGCTGCTGACTCGTTCTGTAACGGGACAGATGATTAACTGTGTGCCTCAGTTTCTTCAGCTGCGAGATGGAGAAGAGCGGGCTTAGACAGGCTAGTCCGGTTTTCAGTCAATGCTTTGGGGTTACGTAGGACATGCAGCTCCCCAGCAGTGGGCACAGAAGCATTTTGGTATGAATTTCCTCTTTACCATGACGAATTACGTCAGCTGGGCAGATGTACTGCTTGCTCCAGCTCTTGATGGATGACGAGAGCACGAGCTCTGCACTGGCTGCAGCCTGTGTCCTGATTTCAAGCAGATACAAGCTCCTGCCTTGCAGTTTCCTGGGTAAATGTGACTCTAGAAAGAGGCTGAAACTTGGGCTTACGTGAATTTTCCTAATGTAGCAGACTGTAGATAATTAAACTTTTGTGCTGTTCTTCCCTATGGGTGTGCACACAGCCTTCTTCAGCAGGCAACAAGTTTTCCTCGTTTTGTAGCAGAAATGAGGAAATCATTGTAATCATTTCTAGGTGCTTTATTTCTTTTAAGTGTTTCTGAAAACAGAGTTAAAGTGAAATTGTACTAGCTTTTATCTTAGAAGTTGGAAAGGGTAGTAAAAAAAAACGAGGAAGGTGCGTGTTTCCTACCGTAGGGTCTTGGGTTGCAAGCTGGATGAGAGGCCGGTGGAGGCTCGTTGGTGGGAGAGGGTGTAGGCACAACCCACCCTGGCAGAACACGAGCCCACCCAGCGCTCTCCTCGGCCTGTGCTGGTTTCTGTGCAGGGGTTTGTGTGCCTGGCTGAAAAATCAGTGTCACCAGCAAATCTACAGTCAGAGGCACGTCCGGTACCTTGCACGGGCGCTTTGCTGTGCCCTGTCATGTGCCTCATCGGTTCAGGGATTTGCGTGCCACTTGCCTGGAAGCAGCACTCGAGTGTCCTCTTATAGAGCGCACTGGGGTATCCTGGTCCCAGAACAAACTCTGGGGATTTTTCAAACTACAGCTACAGAAATAAATGACAATTACTGCCTGCGGCAAGTTTTATTTCTTTGACTTATATGCCACAGAAAATTGCGTTTCCGAATGTAAAGTAAATGACTGCTTTCTCCTGGTGCTGGTGTCTGTCCCTGGTATCCAATCTCATCCATCGTCCTTCTGCTTTTGTTTTCTTTTTTCCAACACAAGTCAACGTGACACTCTTCGTTCCTCCCATGGGCCTTTCTGTTTTGATCTCTCTCTCTCTCTCTCTCTCTGCAAAAGGAGGAGCGGAGGCAGCAGCGTGGGCTCTCAGGAACCTCATTTACAGCTCAGCCATCCCCTAACAGACTGGGGGAGCGACTGCGAAGAGAGAGCCAGTAACACGCTCTCTTCGGGAGAGATTTACAGTTCGGAGGCAGCGATGAGGGATGGACAGTAAAGCGGCTGCCCGCAGCGCTTGCTTTCAGCAGCTCGCTGATGTAGGATGTGACCTGGGAAGCAGGACTGAGCCACCTTGTTTTGTTGCCTCTCTGGAGGAATATATACACCCGGTACAGCTCCCATCTCCTGGCTGTCAAGAATAACACACGACTGCCCCGCTGACGATCGTTCATCATTTTCATAGCCCAATGCATCCTGCCGCTGAGAGGTGGTGGGGGCTGCGGGGGTCTTACTGTCAACGCTTTTCAGTCCATGCCCTTTCGTGCTATCGGTGTCTTTGGAAGGGTGAAAGCTTTGCTCTCCAAAAGTGTGTTTTGTCAGCCAGGAGAAAAGCAATTTGGGGCTGGTGTAAAGATTCTACACCTATGAAGAGATTACATAGGAGATTACGCTGGGAGGAAACAGCTGGGCAGAAAAAAAATGTTTATATTAATAGAAAACACTCTGAAGAATGGGGAGGAGGGAGGGAGAACATACCATTCCTTCAAATGAAAAATGCAGCTTATTTTCATGGTGATGTTTTGTATTTGTTTTATTTTCTTTTTTTTTTTCCCCCCACATACCACATACCTAAAAGTGCAAAAAGAAAACAATTTTTGGTCCAAAAATGTGAGTCTGCTTTACTGTAGCTAGTGGAAAATCTCAGTGCATTGATGTAGTATGAAAATTTATGTAAGTGGTTCCAGCAACATCACATTGGCAGTATTAACTCAGGCAAGGGGAATATTTCAACTCCTCCAGGATTAGAGTTTAAAAAAAAAAAAAAAAGTTAGGAGAAATGGTACTGAGTTGAAGGGTTTGAAGATAGCTTTTTTGGTACTTATGTGTTATTTTCCACTTTAATCTAAACTTTTCCCAAGTGGTATATACCTTATTTTCTCATGTCTAGCTTGAGAGCTGCCCTCCCTCGTTATGTGTCCTGGGCCAAGTGTCTTTGGCGGGATATCTTAATGCAAAAACATTTCACAGCCAGTTGACGAGTAACGTCCACACCAGGCGCTTAGGGGTGCCTACAAATGGGTGAGGGGAGATGCTGGTGGCGAGGGGTGTCTCGCCCTGGGCTACCAAGAGCAGGGGCTGTGCTGCTTCCCAGCAGCTGCAGGAGCTTCCTGGTAGCTGCCTGTGCTGGTTGCTGAGCTTGACAAGTATAAAATCTTCATGCACTCAGAGCATCAGGTCCTGCTGGCAACACAGGCAGTCTCCTGCCTGGTTTCTGACTCCAGGATTTAGCCTGAACTAGGAACTTAGGAGAAGGGACAGTTTCCTGACAAAGGCAATCATCTAATATTGGCTGGCAGACGCCACTGCACATAAAGACCGAGGTGGCAGCTGAGCAGCATTTTGAAGAATACCCCTAGTAGCTAAATCACAGATTTAGATATTTGGCCAGGCAGAGGCTGTGGACCTGACCTATGCTATGCTCAAAAATTACATCACCTGTTTGGGTGTCTTCCCTGTGAAAATGATAAAAATTCTCAGGTTCCCTTCCCTCTCCCTGATACAGGGTTACTGCCACTTGTCTTTTATTTCCCAAAGCCTAATAAACATATCAGCTCATTGGGGGATGAATTAGTGTTGCAATTTAAATATTCCTGGCTCAAAGATCCAGATTTGATCTGATTTGCTGCACTTACTGAGACTTTAAAGCTCAATTCCCAAAACATTTTCTGTGTGCAAACAGGTATTCTGCTATACCTGCAATTTGAAAAACCTACTTTTTATGCGTCTGAGTCACTATCTCTCAGTTTTTATTAACTGTATAAATACCTGGATAAGACAAGAAGCAAAATTTCAAAATCCAGAATGCTTGGGGAAAGATTCAGCAGTTAAAGGGCTATGGATCTCTTTCAGTGCTGGCTCCCCCACTGCAGTTCTCTCTGGAATACCTGCACTAATTTTGAAAAGTGCCCCTCTGTTTCATTGCCTTCTATGCTGCTTCTCAGAGCACCGATTAATAACTGTTGTGCCTGTCAATGAGCCACATCGGCTGCTGGAAAACTGGGCTGAGTGTGCGCGGTGCCTCGGTGGTGCTCCAGGATTGCTTTTGCACCCCAGCACGGCCCTGAGCAGCCAAGCCGAGCTTGAGGCTGCGGTTTCCGCTGTGATCACAAGCATTTGAGCCTGGAGAATTTGATTTGGGTCCACCCTCAGGCTTATTTTTCTTCCCAAATGATTCAAGCAACTTAAAGCTGACCCGCTGTTGGTGGGAAGGAGGGAAGCTGTTCTTGGTGATGCTGTAGGACGGGGACACGAAGCAGTGGCCGGGTTATGCACAGGCTGGGACTCAGTCCTGCTGCCTGCCACTGAAGCGTGTGCCAACAGCTGAAGCACTTGCTCACACCCTGTGCTGCAAATAGTGTTTTGTTTTGTTTTGTTTTGTTTTGTTTTGTTTTCAATAAACAGCTCGAGTAATTCTGTTTTGCAGCTTTTAACTTCAGTATTTTCAATTTAGAACTGGCAGTTTTGACAATTTTTCAAAGCCAGAGGAACCTTCTCCCGTCTTCCTTCTCTGCCTCAAGCAAGTAACATCCCTTTTTTTCCCTCTTTGTGGGCAGATTACAAGCCATTGTTGCTGGCTTTCA